CAGGCACGACAGGCACAAAGCCAAGGAAGACGCAGGGAATAGCGCGGGCGGAGAGCTTGACCGCGGTAGTATCGCGGACAAAGGCACGAGAACCCCAGACCCGGAACACCGACGCATTGCCAACCTTCCCCGTCCACCGCAGGGTGGGCGAGGTCTCCGGGAAGGAGACACGAGGCCAGAGGTTGAGCTGATGCGCAGCGTATCGGACCGCAAACGGCTACAGAAAATGGGGGGCAGCCGCATGGACCATGGAGGTACGAGCGACCTCCATGACTAAGCCAATGCGGCGCTCAGCAACCTCATTCTGCTGCGGTGAGGCCGGGAGCGTGAACGTCTGGCGAATGCCCTCCCCACGACAAAAGTCCCTCAGAAAGTCAAAGGCAAACTCACCACCTCTGTTAGAGTGCAGACGCAGGACGGGAAAGTCCGTCTCGAACCGCTCGCGGAGCTGGAGATGGGCAGCACAGATCCAAGGGATCAAAACATCAGGGACCTCACCCTTGGTGCACAAGGGGAAGACCGTGGTGTAACGCGTGTAGTCGTCAACGACCAGCAAAAAGAACCGCTCGCGGTCCTGTCCACGGGTGCGGGCTGGGCCCCACACGTCCATGTGTAGGGTCCGCAGGGGAGCAGTCGTCGGGGGGAACGAGGAGGAGTGAGGAGCGGCGCACTGCCGTCCCTCGACACAGGGAAGGCAGGGAGGGGCAGGCGAGGGTGGGAGAGGAGGCAGAGTCTCTGGAAGTCCAGAGACAAGGAGACGTCGGTGCATGCCACGGAGGCGCTGCACTGAGGGGTGACCAAGACGGTGGTGCCAAAGGACGGTCTGGTGTGACAAAGCACGACACGAGCAGGGGGGCGCTAGCTGACGTGACGCAGACACAGACGCAGACGCAGCTACCTGAGGGGACACAGTAGTCAGTGTGTACAGAATCGAGCTAGGCGCTCGGGTGAACGTGGCCAGGTGCCGACCAGTCCGGGAGCACGTACAGTGGGTCACACGCTGACCTCCAGAAGTGAACTGGTCAACCCACACATCCTGGAGGTCAGCTCCACTCACCAAGTTCGTAGAGAACGAGGGGAGGTGGAGACCCGACAGTGAGCCAGACGGGACCGCCGGACATGGCAGGACCGTGGAGGAGTGCACAAGGAACAGGGAATAGGTACGGTAGCATGAGGCGGCTGAGGGTAGTAGTGGCAGGGGAGGAGTAGCGTGCTACGACATCATCATACAAAGACTTAGCAGTCTTGTACTGGCCAAAGTGTGTGCGCTCAGCAGACGGCAGGTGACTACGAACAGCAAGACGAGCAACAGCGTCACGAGTATGTTGGAATAGAAGGCTAAAACGATAAACAGAAAAGAGAGGTTTTCACTAGCATGCAGTTGAGTACATATAGCAAACCCTAATTCGGGCTGTACTCGCTATAGAGTACCCCACTACTGGCTACACAAACATCACATTCTGACACACCCCCATAGTCAAAATGGGGTACAATCAACACAACAAGCAGGCAGAGCAGTAGTTCACAATTATAAGCAGCGCTAGAGACTATCACAGAGAGCAAGTGAGTAGGAGGAGAAACTGTGAGGGCGAGAAGATGCAAGACGACGGCTGAAGCTGCAGACACACGGGCAACAGAAGTGCGCAGCACTGTCGCTACCAGGCTAAACCCAGACTACACGGCGACAGGCGCTGCTGGCTCGCTGTGCTCCCACGAGTGCTCACACTGTGGCTACCGTGTCAGAATGTTATTATCTAGCCTGTAGTGGGGTGCTCTATAGCGAGTACAACCCTGTTAGGGTTTGCTATATGTATCCCAACTGCTGCTAGTGAAACCCCCCTATTTCTGCTTCTAAACTTTCTGCTCGTACTTTTGACATGGTTTCAGAGCAGGTCGACTCCCTTGGGTCGATCCTGTGGGTGGGCCCGCCACCTAACTGCTTCCGCTGCTGTTCTGCTTCTCGCGCGCCTCGGGCGTGCGCCCTCTTCTTCCTGCCGTGCGCTCGGGGCGCGCGGCGAGTTTCTGCCCGCCGTGCGCCCCGAGGCGCGCGGCGGTTTCCTACCGTGGGGGACCCGCGCGCGCCCCCGCCCTGTCCGTCGCGTCCCCCTGGGGGACCCGCGCGTTGCCCCCGCTGCCCCGTCGGTGGTCGCGTCGCCCCGCCACCCCGTTGCGCCGCCCTGAGGAGCCGCGCGCGACCCCCCGCTGCCCCGTCGACGGTCGCGTCGCCCTGGGGAGCCGCGCGCGACATCCCGTCGACCCTCGCTTCGCCCCCCCCCGGGACCCGCGAGCCGCCCCTGGAGCCGTGCGCGACCCCCCCCCGCTGCCCCGTCGCGGCGCCCTGGGGGGCTGCGCGCGGCCCCTCGCTGCCCCATGGTGGCGCCCTGGGGGCCGCGCGCCTTCCCCCGCGCTCCTACCCCGTGCCACCCGTTTTAGGGTTTGGGGGTGGGGAGTGTGGGGGTGGCGGTTGAGGGGGTGCCGGTTGTGTGCCCCGTCCCCTACTCCTCCTCCTCCTCCGTCTCCCGCTGCTGCAGCTACCGCTCAGGGGGGTGGGTGTGTGGGAGCCGAAGGAGTGGTGCTAGGGGGGTGACGTGGGAGTGGAGCTAGTGGTGCAGCAAGGGGTGTGTGAAAGGGGGTGGGACAGTTGGGGGAAGTTGAGCGGAGGCAGCAGTCGTGTCGCCAGCAGCGCCAGTAGTCCGGAGGCTACAATCTCCGGTAGTCGCCAGTCGCCTGTGGGTCAGTTGCTCCTGTCAGGAGGCTACAATCTCCACGGAGCCAGTTACTCCTGTAGTCCGGGCCATTGCTTCGGTAGCCACTGAGCCAGCCACTCCTGTGTGTCTGCTGTCAGAATCCCAACCACTAGACCATTGGGATAAAAGGGCTTGTTAAGTAGCGAGTCAGTGCGCCCATAACCCCCCAGGACAACGAGCCTGTAACCCTTCCCTAGGATCAATCGGGGATCACCAGTGGACCTCTGACACCCCCCCGCACTGGGATGCCCGAAGTGCACATACTGGGATTCGAACCCGTGACCTTCGCTCTGATACCATGTCAGAATCCCAACCACTAGACCATTGGGATAAAAGGGCTTGTTAAGTAGCGAGTCAGTGCGCCCATAACCCCCCAGGACAACGAGCCTGTAACCCTTCCCTAGGATCAATCGGGGATCACCAGTGGACCTCTGATATCTGCAGCTTCCACCGTCGCCTCCCATCTCCTCTCCTCTCACAGTCACTCCTCCTCCTCACTTGCCCTCTGCGACTGCCTCTAGCTTTACTTGTGCATGTGAACCTGCTCTATGACTGCTTGCTCTACTGATTACACCCCACTTTGGCTATGGGGGTGTGTCAGAATGTTATTATCTAGCCTGTAGTGGGGTGCTCTATAGCGAGTACAACCCTGTTAGGGTTTGCTATATGTATCCCAACTGCTGCTAGTGAAACCCCCCCTTTCTGCTTCTAAACTTTGTGCTCGTACTTTTGACATACCGGGCGCAGAGCCCCGGACTACTCAGGCCACAGTGGGTCGTGGCTCTCTGGACTACTAGGAGTGCTCACACTGTAACTACCGGGCGCAGAGCCCTAGACTACTCAGGCCACAGGGGGTCGTGGCTCTCTGGACTTCAGGCGCTGCGGACGACAAGTCGGCTACCTCCGGTCAACCTCCCCCAACTGTCCCACACCCCTTTCACACACTCCCTGCTGAACCACTAGCACTGCTCACACGCCACCCCCCTCGTACCACTCCGACGGCTCCAACACATCCACCCCCCTCAGCGGCAGCTGCAGCAGTGGGAGACGGAGGAGGAGGAGGAGCAGGGGACGGCTCACACACACAGCACCCCATACTCTCCACCCCCAAACCCTAACACAGGAACGCGGGCAGCAGCGGGGGTGGGGCGCGGTCAGAAGCTTGGGGGACGGCGTGCGGCACAGGGGAAGACGGTACGGGCCGCTCACGGGCCTGGCGCAGCCCGTACGGGCCGCGCGCGGGCCTGGCGCAGGCCGTACGGGTCGCGCGCGGGCCTGGCGCAGGCCGTACGGGCCGCGCGCGGGCTGTACGGGCCGCGCGCGGGCCTGGCGCAGGTCGCGCGGGCCGCTATGGGCGACGGGGGGCGGCGCGCGGGTCCCCGGGGGCGTTGCGATGGGCGACGGGGGGCGACGCGCAGATCGACGGGGCAGAAAACCGCCGGGCGCCCCGAGCGCGCGGCGGGAAGAAAAAACGTTGCGCGCTCCGAGCGCACGGCAGGAAGAAATAGGGCGCGCACCCGGGGCGCGCTACAGGCAGTAGAGCAGCGGAAGCATCGGGTGGGGCCCACCCACAGGATCGACCTAGGAGGGTCGACCTGCTCAGCATCGAAGGTAAGAACATTAGGGCTAGCCATGGCGGCAGTGGCAGCAGTGGCAGCAGTAGCAGCAGTAGCAGCAGAAGCAGCAGTAGCAGCAGGAGCAGCGTGGGCAGGGCAGCGCGGCTCAGTAGGGCAGTGTGGCGCGGCTCGGCAGAGCGGCGCGGCTTGTCTGGGCGGCGCGGCTCGGCTGGGCGGCGCGGCTCGGCCGGGCGGCGCGGCTGGGCTGGGCGGCGCGGCTCGGCTGGGCGGCGCGGCTAGGCAGGCAGGCAGGCGCGGCTGGCGCAGGTAGGGCAGGTGCGCGGGTAGTGCGGGAAGGGCAGGTGCTCACCAGGGGCGGGTAGGTCAGGTGCCACCGGCGGCGGGTAGGGCAGGCGCGCGACAGGCGCGGGTAGGGCAGGCGCTCGACGGGCGACGGCAGGGCAGGCGCTTGACGGGAGGCTGCAAGCGCTCGACGGGCGGGTAGGGCCGACGCTCGACGGGCGGGTAGGGCCGGCGCTTTGACGGGCGGCGGCAGGGTAGGCGCACGACGGGCGCTTAGGGCAGGGCCGCGACGGGCGGCGGCAGGGCAGGCGCTCGACGGGCGGCAGGCAGGGCAGGCGCTCGACGGCGGGTAGGGCAGGCGCTCGACTGCGGCCGAAGCAAGGGCAGGCGCTTGATGGCGCGGGTAGGGTAGGCGCTCGACGGCGCAGAGCAGGGCAGGCGCAAGGGCGCAGGTGAGGCGGGCACGAGGAGCGCGACAGGGCAGGCAAGCTCGGAAGCGCGCTTCGGGCAGGGCAGGAAAAAAAAATCGTGGTGGGCCCTTTCAAAAAAAACGTTCCCACTAGGGAACCTGCTCTGAAACCATGAGAAAGATAGAACGAGGAATGATTTGAATTAGCAAGCACGTGGGTACAAGTAGGAAAACCTAAAAGTGTTGTACCCCATATTGACTACCCCACTACAGCCTACACAGACTATGTCATATAAGTTTGACATTCCCTGCTTCCCCAAGTCCCCTTCCCTGCTTCCCCAAGTCCCCTTCCCTGCTTCCCCAGGTCCCCTTCCCTGCTTCCCCATGTCCCTTTCCCTGCTTCCCCCCATCCCCTTCCCTGCTTCCCCCCATCCCCTTCCCTGCTTCCCCAAGTCCCCTTCCCTGCTTCCCCAAGTCCCCTTCCTTGCTTCCCCAAGTCCCCTTCCCTGCTTCCCCATGTCCCTTTCCCTGCTTCCCCCCATCCCCTTCCCTGCTTCCCCCCATCCCCTTCCCTGCTTCCCCCCATTCCCTTCCCTGCTTTCCCCCATCCCCTTCCCTGCTTCCCCAAGTCCACTTCCACGGCAATTACACGCAACACTTGATGCTCTTCATATCCTCCCTCAGAGTCCTTCTCACTTGTCTTGCGGAACCCTGCTCAGGGTTTTGCCTGACTGCATGTCTGCCTGCTTTTGATCTGTGTGCGTGTCTTTTTGCCTTCGTGCATGCATGCGTGTGTGCATGCCTGCGTGCGTGCTTGCGTGCATGTGTGTGTTTGCGTGTGCGTGTGCACCTCCACCCAAGACCTGATGCCATTCATCGAGCGTGACCCCGTGGGAGGCGGAGGTGCGGCCGCCCAAGAAGCTGCGTGACGTGCCCACAGAGGGGAAGTGGGAGCAGGGGTGGGGGCAGTGGAGAGGTGCGAGGAGGACGAGGAGGAGCAGCCATGCCTGGCACTGGTGGCTTCCATGGAGACGCACACGGAGGAAGAGAGGGGCGAGGTGGGAAGGTGGGCAAGGTGGGGAGCAAGGTGGGGACATGGGCCCATGCAGGGCAGCAGGGACGACGCCAATCGTGCGGCAGAGGGTCAAGAGCAACAAGGGGCGTGGGCAGGAGGAGCATCGGAGGAGTTTGAGTTACCAGTGGAGCCATCAGTGCGCATTCCTGCAAGCCGTCGCATTGCCATTCGCTGCCCGGATGGCACTCGGCTGCAGTGTCGGTTCCGGGCCCAAACACTCTCTCCAGGTGCTATCCCCATCCCTCATAACAACCTGCTTGCCACCCATCCCACGCCTGTGGACTGTCCTTCCTGCCATGCTCATTCCCTTGCTCTCCCACTCACTCCCTTGTTCTCCCACGCCCCACTCCCCACCCCACCAGCTGCTGGAAAGCAGATCCACGACTGGATCTGCCCCGAGGCGAACCCCCTTACGCGCACCACCACGCTGGTCACGAAGCAGCACCAGCCCACGGCGCACTTCGACAGGTTCTGCGAGATAGGGCGCGCAGCTGGCAGAGCTGTGAGGCAGCCTCTTCTCGAGACTGCCTTCAGCCTCCCCTGCTGCCCCATACCGTTGGCCAACCAGCGCCCGATAAGGCCCTGCACTTTCTGTTGCCGCCCTCCCTGCGTGTATAGAGGGATTGGCAGCTGCAAAGCGTGACAGCCAACATTGTGCAGGCAACTACGTTGAATCTGGATCATGGGGCAAAGGCATTTAAATTGAGTTGAGCTGTGTGGTGTGGTCAGTGTGGAGTGGCGTGGAAGGAAGGCGCAAGAAGGCAAGCACAGGGTGAAAAGGCCACGGGAGGATATGGAGATTGGCAGCAGGGATCGACTTTTGGTTCGTGCTTTGTTTGGTGCAGGAGGTTTATAGGCTGAATTGGGTTTACCTGTTGATGATACTGTGTACAAGGGGTGTACTGTATATGCCCCATCTCAATCTTGACCCGAGCTCCAACGCGTAATAAGACATGAAGAAATGAGTTTGTACCTAGCTGTGATATTCCCTACCAAACATACACAACATAGCCAATGTCAAGCACACTAGTATCCAACAACGTTTTCTCGATATAAAGGCGAGTTTTGAGTCGACTCAAAGCTCGACTCATTACACGCAATGTCAAGCATACTAGTATCTAACAACGTTTTCTCAGTATAAAGGCGTGTCATACATGGTGAAAGCGCAACTCGCCAAAGAATGTTTAGGTTGGTATGTAGCACTTCGAATCCGTAAAGCACAGTTGCCGTTATAGAACCGGACCAGGGTCGTCGCTAGGATCTGAGGGATGTCTGATGCATCAGACGGGTCCCCCGGGCAAAAAAAAAAAAGTTTTTTCTGATGCTGACTGGCCCATCAGATTAATCCAAAAAAACATGCATAAATATTAGCCAAACAGGAAAAAAAAATGTCTGCTAGCGACGACCCTGAACCGGACGCATCGTAGTCAGCCGCTTTGAATGAACTGCAAGTTCACCAAGCATGACACGCCCTCAGAGAAACAACTAGCTGTTGCCTATAAGCTAAATCCAATTTCCCCAAGATACATTGTGAGAAAAATGCGGAGCAACACTCAAGACGGTCGAGCTGAATATGTCAAGGTAAGCCCAGCAGAGAGGAGTGGCGACGTCGGGAAAATGAGAGGAGGGGTAGAGGGGAGATTTCGAGGGGCTCACACTGCTGGAGCTTTGCAATGGCTGATTTGCGGAGGGGGGAGCGGGGTGGGGGGCAGAGGAGAAGAAGATGGTAAAGGGAGCTGAGAACAAGGAGGAGGGGCAGCAGGTTGACAAGCTGGCTCTCACTGCTTATTGCGTGTAATGGCTGTCAGAACGTGGGGGAGTGGGGAGTGGTGGGGATGGGGGAAAAGAAGGGAGAGGGGGGAGGTGGGAAAGAGGCAAGGTGATTGTCTTTGGGATGGCTTCTAATAGGTATCATGGGAAGGATGGGAGAGTTGTCGGTGGAGCTAGGAAAGAGGAGAGGGAAGTAGAGAGAATGGGGAGATGGGATGGGATATCATGCACTTGTGCATATGCCAAAGGTCAACAGCAACACACCATGATCACCTGCACTGCACCAGGTGTCATTTGCACCAGGACGTCCCCCAATCAATGATGATGTGTTTGGAGAGGGCCACTAGGCGGCAGACGTCCGGGGGGCCGAGGCTTCCACCAGGGAAAGCCGCCCTGCCACCTCCATGTCCCTCTGTTTGTACAGCAGCAGCTGCACTCCTTGCACTGGCGGGACCAATTTTAGGAGCTGACATGGGATGTATCTCAGGGATGGGGGATGGGGAGACGAAACAGTTAAAGGTTCTTGGTCAAGAGGAAGGGCTTGAGGGAGACAAAGAAGCGTGGAGGGGAGAGGGGGGGAGAGATTTGAAGGCCCACTAGTGCAGGTGGTTGGGGATAAATAGTAACAATAGTAGGGTTCATTATTAACATGGGGTTGCAATGACATATTAGCAGCAACCTCTTCCTCACGTACCAGCTGATGAGAGACATCCGCTAACACAACCGGAGTAACAGTACCAACAAAAACTTGAACAACAGTAGCAACGCAAGTAGCAGGCGCACCAACATCAGCATCATGCGCAAAAGCAACAAAAGCATCAACAGCTATAGCTGTAGTAGCCTGTCAAGAACGAAATGATTGGTTTGACTAAGGTTGGTTGGGTACAAAATCCTAACCCTAACTGTTGTACCCCATATGACACACATCACTAGGACGATAACATCTGACGCACCCCCATAGCCTAAGTGAGGGGTGCCAAGCAAACCAACAACGTACGGTCACAAGACCAGTCACAAAGCAACAAAACCCAGGGTGGATCACAATGTCACCGCACATTCTGAGCACAAGTAAAAGAGCCACAAGGCCAGTTCAAGAGTTCACAGAGGTATATATGAAGTGTACAAACAAAGCAAGCAGAGAACTCAAGATTACGCAAGGCGAGAACCTGTGCCAGCGAGACTCAACTGCACACAACACATCTGGTGGTCACAAGGCGGAAGGGCCTTGGTGAAGATGTCTGCAGTGTTGGCCTCGGACTCCACATAGTCAAAGCGAGCCTGTCCACGCCTCAGAAGAAAGTATCTGACGTTGATGTGCTTCACTCTGCTCTCCAGTCGCGGGTCTCGACAGAGGAGAATCGACGCCTTGTTAACCGACCATCAAGCCAACATCTGACATAGCCGTACGAAAAAGCACCGAATATCTAGAGGCGTATGCAGCTCCGCCTTTCGTCGATGTCGCAAATGTCGCCGCTAACACTCAGGCAATGTTCGCCAACATGTGCTTGATGTCAACTCTTGCAGCTGCTTCGTGCCCCACGCCCACAGGCTAGGGCTCTAACGTATGGGATCTCGCCGTTTCGCTGACCCCCTCTGGCATCCCTCCCCTCGCAGTCTATTCCGGCTGGCGATTCACTTCGTTATGGTCAGAGGCGTGGACTGATGGCTTTAACGTTGACATGCCGTGGTTCGCTGGTAATTCAGCATTGTGGTGACGGACAATTGTTTTTTGTTTGGTGGGACAAAAATTGGGTTTATTATGCATAAGTGATTAATCATGTTGCTAGCTTCAACCTTGAAGGTCGACATGGATTTTGATAAAATGCTCAAACCTTTCAATCTGAGCTTGTAGTGCGCTACCGTGGCAACGGTGTTGATCAGATGGCAGCAATTATTTCCTGTTGATTCCTTTCGTGAGGAGCTATTTCACAGCTGCCCACAGTGATGTGATGAGAGTATGACAACCATTAGGGTTCTTAGATAATTTACTTTAGGGCTTGCATGGCATTAGTGTGAAGTTCTGTTGGTCTTGAAGTGAAGAGGCCAAATAAGTGGGGAATCACTTTTTGTGAAAAAGTAGGTATCTTATAATGTAGTGCATCATAAGGTATCTTTGTAATAAGTGTAGTGCAACCGATTGATAATTCTGTTGGTGCAGATTGTTGGGGAGATCACCAAATATATAGATATTGATTGCACAGTTGAGACATGCCATGCCACCTTGACCAAAATTTATCCCAAAATTTTGTGTAGTCAGTTTGATCTCAGAAAGGTCAATTATAGTTGCTTTGTTGGGGATAATATTAAGTGAGGGTAATTGAAATCCTCAACATGGCTAATTTTTGGATTTGAGCAACCCTTGTGATCAGTGTTGCAGCTGTTCAAAAACCTGATTATCAGTGTGACACCTTGTTCAAACCCTGATCCATCAGTGTTTTTCTTGTTTTGAAAATCCAACCCTGTGGCATCAGTGTACCAGTTTAGCAAACCCTGGTAAGCCAGGTTTCCTGCTAACCCGGTCTTGTTGTCATGTCAAATAAACAAACGAGTCGAGTCAGTGGCGTTGTCTACAATGCTACTGCATTTTCGGCCAATGGTGGCCCACTTCGTGCCAGCACATGTATTGTCGAGGTTGAAATTCCGGTTTCGACAGTTGGCAATCGGGAATTCCGGGTTACGGGAAAGGGGGGGTGGGGGGGGAGGGGGGAGTTATGGTACTCGCTTCAGAGTGAAACTCGTTATGAAGAACGGAAACACTGAGGCATCAGTGTGCCTTAAAGCCGTTGGCCCAAATTGCACAAGTTTTAAAGCCCAAGTTTTACATGGATATTTTCAAGTTCAAGATTCCTGAATATGAATTCGCCAAAAACCATGTTACCACCCGAAGTGGAGCATTGTAACACGATAGTGATCTGTGATTGGCCAGCGACACTCAAAGTCATATCGAGCAGTGGGTCAGCAGGCAAGGCAGCACTGTTCACTTGAACTGAACTTGAAAACTATCGTGTACTACTTGTCAAGCATACTAGACATAGTTCACACGTCATTCACGCCCAAAAATCACTCCGTTTGAGGGCACAACTCATGTACGAACTCTCGCAAGATGCTCCTGCTATATTCTCCCTGGTCTAGAGCTAGGTTGCTGGTCGCTTAGGCCCCCCCATTCGCCCTCGCTTGCCCGCGACGCTTTCAGTTCTTTGGCTCCCGTTACTCGTTTCCTCGCGTCGTCCACGATCGCGCTCACTTCTGTTTGCCGCCCACGCTTCCAACCGTCGCTCCCTTCCATTCACCTCCCTCCCTTCCGCGCGTCGCCCTGCTCGTCGCTCTACCTTTTGCCCGTCGCCCTCCCATCCGCTCGTCGCTCTACCTTCCACGCGTCGCCCTCCCATCCGATCGTCGCTCCCTTCGTCCACCCTTCCGGCCGTCGCTCTCCCTTCCGCCCGTAGCCTTCCCTTTGTCTCGTCGCCCTTCCTCCCGCTCGTCCCATCGCAATCTGCGTCTTCCTCTCCCTCCCGTCTCCTTTCCCATCGCGCTCCCTCTGTTCTCTTCCCTGCTTCCCCCCATCCCCTTCCATGCTTCCCCCCATCCCCTTCCTTGCTTTTCCCCATCACCTTCTCTGCTTCCCCCCATCCCCTTCCCTGCTTTCCCCCAACCCCTTCCCTGCTTCCTCCCATCCCCTTCCCTGCTTCCCCATATCCCCTTCCCTGCTTCCCCCCATCCCCTTCCCTGCTTCCCCCCATCCCCTTCCCTGCTTCCTCCCATCCCCTTCCCTGCTTCACCCCATCCCTTTCCTTGCTTCCCCCCATCCCCTTCTCTGCTTCCCCCATCCCCTTCCCTGCTTCCCCCATCCCCTTCTCTGCTTCCCCACAACCCCTTCCCTGCTTCCCCCCATCCCCTTCCCTCCATCCCTTTCCCTGTTTCCTCGCATCCCCTTCCCTGCTTCCCCATGCCCCTTCCCTTGCTTCCCCCCATCCCCTTCTCTGCTTCCCCCTATCCCCTTCCCTGCTTCCCCCCATCCCCTTCCCTGCTTCCCCCCATCCCCTTCCCTGCTTCCCCCCATCCCCTTCCCTGCTTCCCCCCATGCCCTTCTCTGCTTCCCCCCATGCCCTTCTCTGCTTCCCCCCATCCCCTTCCCTGATTTCCCCCATCCCCTTCCCTGCTTCCCCCCAACCCCTTCCCTGCTTCCCACCATCCCCTTCCCTCCATCCCTTTCCCTGTTTCCTCCCATCCCCTTCCCTGCTTCCCCATGTCCCTTTCCCTGCTTCCCCCCATCCCCTTCTCTGCTTCCCCCCATCCCCTTCCCTGCTTCCCCCCATCCCCTTCCCTACTTCCCCCCATCCCCTTCCCTGCTTCCCCCCAACCCCTTCCCTGCTTCCCCCCATCCCCTTCCCTGCTTCCCCCCAACCCCTTCCCTGCTTCCCCCCATCCCCTTCCCTGATTTCCCCCACCCCCTTCTCTGCTTCCCCCCAATCCCCTTCTCTGCTTCCCCCCATCCCCTTCCCTGATTTCCCCCATCCCCTTCTCTGCTTCCTCTCAACCCCTTCCCGGCTTCCCCCCATCCCCTTCCCTGCTTCCTCTCATCCCCTTCCCTGCTTCCCCCAATCCCCTTCCCTGCTTCCCCCCATCCCCTTCTTTGCTTCCCCCCATCCCCTTCTTTGCTTCCCCCCATCCCCTTCCCTGCTTCCTCCCATCCCCTTCCCTGCTTCACCCCATCCCTTTCCCTGCTTCCCCCCATCCCCTTCTCTGATTCCCCCCATCCCCTTCCCTGCTTCCCCCATCCCCTTCTCTGCTTCCCCACAACCCCTTCCCTGCTTCCCCCCATCCCCTTCCCTGCTTCCCCCCATCCCCTTCCTTGCTTCCCCCCATCCCCTTCCCTGCTTCCTCTCATCCCCTTCCCTGCTTCCCCCCATCCCCTTCCCTGCTTCCCCCCATCCCCTTCTTTGCTTCCCCCCATCCCCTTCCACGCTTCTCTGCTACCCCTGCCCTGCTTCCCGAGGGCGTTTTTCTGGTCTGAGTTTTGGCGAGTGATTTCGATTTCGTTTTTTTTTTTTTTTTGGGTTGCGAAGCAACCCTTTACAATCGATTTTGCCAAATTTTATTTTCATGTTTATATTTTTTTATATAATCATGAAAATGAAATTTGTAACTATGGTAATACCTTTCCCTCACTGTATGCATGTTGAGCAGTTTCGAATAAGATACTGTTCACAGTGCATTAAACCATATGATTGTTTTGCAGTTGTTTAGTGCAGCTTTGCCATGCTGTTTGTATTATATGTTTTACTGTTAGATGATGATGTGTAATGATAAAGAGATGTATGCATAATGCATAAATGTGTGAAGATGAGAACGAGGATGAATGAACTATGAATGAAGAGAGTACATATAGGAAACCCTAATTGGGTTGTACCCCCTATGGGATACCCCACTATAGCCTACACAACAACATAAGCTATATATATGTTCTGACACACCCCCATAGGCAAAGTGGGGGAGAACAAGGGGTCACAAGACCAGTCACGCAAAGCACAGCAAGCTCAGGGTGGATCACAAAGTCACCACACAGTCCGAGCACAACGACAAGGCCACAAGGCCAGTTCACATGCAGGAGTGCACATATATATATAGAGCTAGACAAGCAAGAGCAGGTATATATATGTGACAGTACAAGCAAGGTCAAGAGGAGAGCAAGTGAGGCAAGACAGGTACAAGACCCAGCTGGGTGCAGAAGCGCTGATGGTCACAAGGCGGAAGTGCCTTGGTGAACACATCAGCAGTGTTGGCCTCAGAGGCCACGTACGCAAGTCGCAACTGACCACGCTGCTGCAGCTCACGAGCAAGAAAGTAACGGAGAGCAATGTGCTTCGTTCTGTGCTCCAAGCGCTGCTCTCGACACAAGGCCAGCATGGCCTTGTTGTCTACGTACAGCACTGGAGGAGAACGAGGCGGCTCTCCAAGGTCAGTCAGCAGGTAGGTGAGCCAGCGAAGCTCCTGTGCAGCCATGGCCCCGGCGTAGATCTCAGCCTCACAACTGGAGCCGAGAACAGAGGACGAGCGAGTAGCCCGCCACGAGACAGAGCCGGAACCAAGACTGAAGGTGTAACCCTGCGACGACCGCTGCGTAGCCTGGTCGTCAGCCCAAGAAGCGTCCGCGTGCCCAGTGAGGACCACTGGACTCCGCCCTCCAAGCACTAGCCCCATGCCCGACGTACTGCACAAGTAGCGCAACACCCTCTTCGCTGCAGCCATGTGCTCTGGTCGGTGTCTCCCAGGAGCAACATAGCGTGCAAGAATGCTAAGAGGGTATGCAAGGTCAGGTCGTGTGCAGGTCATCAGGTACATGAGGCAACCAACAAGCTCTGGGTACGGGCCACTCGACTCTACGGACTCATCCGAAGGCAGAGCTGAGAGCAAGTGGCGAGTAGACAGAGGAGTGGCCTGAGGCGAGGAGTACGTGAAGCCGAAGCGCTGAAGGACCTGCTGCACCATGTGTGACTGAGTCAAGGTAATGGTGCGGCGTGCTCTGTCCCGAGTGATCTGCAAGCCAAGGTAGCTGCGCAGTTCACCCAGGTCTGTGCACGTGTGTCTCTTCTGCAGCTCGGACTTCACGTAGGCTAGTCCAGCAGTGTCAGCTGTGGCAAAGACCAAGTCGTCGACGTACACGAGGATGTAGAACGGCGGCAAAGAAGTGTCGGTGCGCAGAAACAACGACGGGTCAGCAGTAGAGGGAGCAAACCCAAGAGCCGCAAGCGTAGTCCTCAGTGTGTCGTGCCACTCACGCGGTGTCTGGCGGAGACCGTAGACTGGCCGTCGGAGGCTCCACTGGGTGCCAGGAGGGAAAGTCCCAGTGAAGCCAGGTGGACGGCGCAGCCAGATCTCCTCGTGCAGGCTACCCTGCAAGAAAGCAGTGCTGAAGTCAAGAGAGTGGAGCTCGTAGTCGCGCTGAGCGGCTATGTGCAGCAGCACCCGAAGAGTGGTCATCTTCGGGGTGGGAGAGAAGGTCTGAAAGTAGTCAACTCCCTGCCGCTGACTGAAGCCACGAGCGACGTACCGCGCCTTGAAGACAGGTGGAGAGCCCGGCGGCCGCTTCACCCTGAAGATCCACATGCCACTGACGATGTTCGCCCCAGGAGGGGGAACCGCGTCAACGTAGGTGCCTGTGGACTTCCAGGACGCCATCTCTGCATCCATAGCTGCCTGCCACTGAGAGGAGTAGGGACCCTCTACGGCCTCCGCGTAAGAGCGCGGAGTCGGGATGTCTAGTGCATCCGGGTCTCCCTCAGGGGCAAGTAGTACGGACGCGAGATGAGGTGAAGCAGCAGCCAGACACTGGAACTCCTCCTGCCTGTCCTCAAGGACGTCCGTGCCAAGAGCACACTCACCCCCGACGGACGGAGGACAGACAGACGCAGACTCAGCAACAAGACCGGCAGCGTAGTCTAGACGACAGCGAGCAGCAAAGTCGACGAGCTCAGCAACAAGAGCAGACGCAGCAGTGGACTCAAAAGAGGGGTCAGTGACGACAGTAGCAAGGAGACGTGTGACAGTAGGACTGGTAGCACGAAGAGAGTCGGACTCTGGGTCGGTAAGTGCAGGAAGAGAGGACTCAGGAGGAGAAGGCAATGGGGCACGCAGAGGAGCAGTGGACGGACGCAAAGACATCCGGTGCGTGCCAGGGACAGGAGGAGGACGCTGACGCGAACCGCGACCACTAGCGCGAGCAGCACGAACAGGCGACGCAGGACGAGACGCAGGCTCACGACGCTCAGCAAGACCTCCAGTGGGACCAGTGTAAGGAGAGGGAGCAGGAAGTGGGGAGGCGGGCTCTAACTGGGACCGTGACTGAACAGGCGGTGGACACGCTGCAGGAGGAGAAAGACCAAGAACCTGCTGTAGGAGTGGAACGAAGTACGGCCGAGGCCGCGCGGCGCCTCCAGACACAGCAGGGACAGCACCCTCAGCAGCAGCACCAGCGCCAACAGCACCTCCAGCGGCAGGACCTCCAGTAGCACCAGCAGCACCCGCAGCAGGACCACCGCTAGGAGGGACAGCAGCAGTCTCAGCACCAACACCCGCAGCAGCTCCAGCTCCAGGCGGACCCGAAGGCCCAGCAGCTCCGGGACCAGCGGCACAAGTACCCTCAGCAGCCGAAGGAGCTCCGGCTCCAGCAGTACGTCTCCAGCGGCGAGCAAACCACTCGCGCAGCTCCTGTGGAGAGAGGGGCTCCCGCCAAGGCGAAGCACCCGAAGAACCGCCAGGTCCCGCACCGCCAGACGCCACAAGGGGAGGTCCAGTGGCCGCAGGCTCCGCAGCTCCAGACGCAGCACCCCCTGGCGCAGCACCCCCAGTCGCAGCACCCCCAGGCTCAGCACCCCCAGACTCCGCACCCCCAGGCTCAGAGTCACCAGCAACCTCGACCGGCTCGACTGCGTCTACCTGGGACACACCTGAAGGGGCAGGACCCTGAGGGGGAAGGGGGTCTACCGGGGGGGGACCTGGCACAAGGAAGTGCGGTGGCGGGGGGAGGGAAGGAGTGCGGTAGGGGAAGAGGCGGTAGAAGGGGACTGACTCGTCGAACGTGACGTCCTGGGAGGACAGAACACGACGAGAGGAGGGGTGGTAGAACTGCCACCCTGGGGCGTCAGGGGGGAAGCCGAGGAAGACACAGGGAGCAGCACGAGGGGACAGCTTGTCCGCAGACAAGTCGCGGACAAACGTCCGAGATCCCCAGACACGGAATGCAGACGCATCGCCGACCTTCCCCGTCCACAGCAGAGCTGGGGAGGTCTCCGGCCGGGAGACCCTGGGGTGAAGGTTGATCTGATGCGCCGCGTACCGAACCGCAAACGGCCACAGAAAATGGGGGGCAGCCGCATGCATCATGGACGTACGAGCGACGTCCATGACCATGCCAATGCGGCGCTCAGCAATCCCATTTTGCTGTGGAGAGTCCGGAAGCGTAAAGGTCTGGCGGATGCCTCGTGCACGACAGTAGGCTCGCAGAAGGCCAGAGGAGAACTCTCCACCTCGGTCAGAGTGCAGACGCAGAACAGGAAAGTCCGAGCCGAAGCTCCTCCTGAGCTGGAGACGAGCTGCGCGGATCCAGTCGATCAACACCTCAGTGACATCACCCTTGCTGCGCAAGGGGAAGACTGTGGTGTAACGCGAGTAGTCGTCAACCACCAGCAGGAAGTAGCGCTCGTGACCCTGCCCACGGACGCGGGCCGGGCCCCACACGTCCATGTGAAGCGTCTGCAGAGGAGCCTCTGTCGGGGGAAACTGGGAGGAGTGAGGGGCAGCCCGGAGCCGCCCCTCGACACAGGGGACACAGGAAGGTCCGGGTCCCGAAGGAAGGGGAGGGAGAGAACGGGGAAGACCAGAGACAAGGACACGGGAAGCCATGCCCCGAAGACGAGGCAAGGAGGGGTGGCCAAGACGGTGGTGCCACAGGAGAGTCTCCTGAGACAGGCGGCGACACGAGCAGGGGGCAGACTCAGGACCAGACCTGGACGCAGCAGCAAACACCTGACCCGACGCAGCTACCTGGCCAGACGCAGGGACAGGAGGAGACTCAGTGGTCAGGGTGTAGAGACTCGACCCCGGTCGACGCGAAAACGTGGCCAGGTGTCGGCCTGTGCGGGCGTCCGAGCAGTGGGTCACCCGCTGACTCGCAGGAGTAAACTGGTGAACCCCCGCATCCTGCAGGTCAGCACCACTCACCAAGTTCGTCGAGAACGAGGGGAGGTACAGACCAGACAAGGTGCCCGAGGGGGCAGCCGGACACGGGAGGACAGTGGAGAAGTGAGAGAGGACAGGACCCCCAGAGGGGTCAGCCAGGGAGACTGCAACCGGCCGGCCAAGCGGCGTGAGTGTGGTGCGGTCTCGAAAGAAGGAGCGAGAAGCCCCTGAGTCAAGCGTGAAGGTGAGGGAGGCCGAAGCCGACGCAGTACCTGAGAGCGCAGCCTCACCAGTACCTGAGAGTGCAGACGCACTGGCACCTAGAGCAGCAGCCGCAGAAGTACCTAGCG